TCATTTTATGGGGGCCTTAAGAAATGATTCATTCAGGCAAATATTTGCAGTTTTTAAGACAACTTGATTTGCAGAAACTGTTCAGTTTGGAATATTTATGTTGAGTTCATTAATCATCATGTGCTCTAGTTTTCTCTTGAAAATGTCAGTTATAATAAGAAATTTTATAATTTCAATTTAGGAAACTACTCTCTGTACTATGAGACATTTTTAGAATATTTCTTCCACAAATAAGGGTACAATAGTTTTATATTATAGTTTTAAATAACTGGTAGAATTCTATACTTCCAAAACACTTTCTTTATCTCAAGTAAAGGCAGTAGTACCTCTGATAGAACTTTGGCTCTGAAGATCTAAACTTATCAGATACCTACCTATACAGCACTGCATGAGAAATACATGCTTCTGTTTTTTTAACAAGTCCAGTTGAGCCTCTCTGATGTCAAAGCATGTGGTAATAGATTGCCTTGTCAAAAATGTATTTATCTTATTGGAGTTTCCCTAGTGGCTCAGTGGTAAAGAATCCACCTGTCAAATGCAGGAGACAGGGGCCCGAGCCCTGATCCGGGAAGATCCCACATGCCGTGGAACAGCTAAGCCCATGCGCCACAACTTCTGAGCCTGTGCTCCAGAGCCCGGGAACCGCAACTAAGGAAGCCCACGTGCCCGAGAGCCTGTGCTCTGCAACAAGAGAATCCACCGCAATGAGAAGCCTGCACATCACGACTAGAGAGAAGCCCACGCAGCAACGGAGACCCAGCACAGCCAAAAATAAATAAATGCAATTATTGTAAATATATATTTATATATTTATCTTATAATGGTCTTGTTTACAACACTATTCTGGTTGTGGCTAGAATGTGGCCAGGTCTCTGGGAGCTTGTGCTGGATCTAAAGCAGCCCACACTCCCCCCAGTCACGGCAAAAGACACAGACAATCCAGAAGATGCATGAGACTTGTCAAACAGTATGAGCCCAGGGTGGGCATTCAGGGAAGGTCACTGACCTCTGGGTTGTGAAATTCAACGGATAGTTTTTTCAGTTCTCATTTGTTTTGCTCTCTTGGCAGTTTTCACTGACTCTTCCTTAAAAAGCCCTCTTTCCCTGGCCTTTAGTAACATCACGTTCACAGCCAGTTTTTCTTTTTCCGGCTCAGGGACTCCTGCTGGGTTGTCCTTTTGTATCCAGAATGTAAGTTCTAGAATCCTTTGAACATTCAGGTTCAGGACACTCTCCAGACTTCAGCTATTATCTAATGACTCTCACATTCCCCGTCAAGCAGAGATCACAAACCAATAACCCGCAGTCACATCCTTTTTAAATTTATATACACTTTAGGGAGTCATGGCCCTTTTTCCTCTCCCACAGTCCTTCCTCTCTGCAAGCGTTCGAGTTAGCCTTTGTGTTGCTCAAGGTTCCTCCTATTCTTCCAGATTCACAGCTCCTGCTCCCCCAGTTCCTTGTCTCCCTAACAAACGCCCCTCGCTGGGCCCCACATTCCTCCTCCTTGTTCTCATCCTTCAAGCACAGCAAAACTGACACATCCCAGGTTAGCTTTCCAAGATTTTCCAGGCCAATGTCAGATCCCTCTTTTTTTTTAATCAAATTTACTTATTTTGGGCTGCACAGGGTCTTCATTGGTGCGCATGGGCTTTCTCTTAGTTGCGGTGAGCATGGGTTACTCTCCATTGCAGAGTGGGGTTCCTCCACAAGAAAAGCCACTGCTATGAGAACCTGAGCACCACAACTAGAGAAAAGCCCTCGCAGGAACGAAGACCCAGCATAGCCAGAATTTTTAAAAACAAAATTATTTTTTTTTAAGTTGTATCACAATATACAAGGATGACTATTTTAAATATAACATTTCAATCATAGAAATATATGCTGTCAACTGCTAGTTGGGGATGAAATTCTCCAATCTCTCTTCCTCCTTTCCCCAGGAAGGGGTTATGATGAGGGGTGAGAGCTGAGTTGCTTGAGAGGCCTTGCCTGGTCTGGAATCCAGAATCTTCTATTCACCAGCAGTGGCACATTTAACAAATTACTTATTCTGGTCTTCAGTTTCCTCATATGTAAAACAGAGGTAATCACAGTCCCTATTTCATAAAGTCATTCAAGTGTAAATTAAGGCCATGCCTGGCACTTGGCTAGTACAGTGAAGCGCAGTGCCAGATGTGTTCAGTTAGTGTCTACATCATTGTTGTTATCTTTATTATTGCAGATATGAATCTAGACATCTCTGTCTCTTCCTATAATGAAAGTGTTACATATAACCAGGGCCAGCTCAGAGTAGGGGAGGCTAACGGGTTTTCTGCCCTCTCCCAGTTGTGTGCCAATGAACAGTTAACATTCAGCTTTGGGCAAGGGTGGGGGGTGGAGAGCCATACTTCGTACTGTTTGCCATTTTCCATGTTGTAAATTCTCCCACCATGGCTGATTTCAAGCTATCAACGTGAGTTCAGTGAACTCACATTGAGAAGAGTTATCAGAATTGGGAAGATTATCGGAAGAGTTTGGGAGAGTTATCAGAATCAGCGCTCAAGTCCCATGAGCCTGCTTCAACACACCCAAAAGAGAATCTCTTATCTTTTCTGCTGCCTCTTTGTTCACTGCTGAAACTAGGATCTGATCTATCTTAGGCAGAGGACTAAACATACCTATCTGATGGGCTCCTGCAGAGGTAAGAGTTTATTTATGCCTGGAAGATAGAAGGAGTCTTCAGATCTGAAACCCAAAGCAGGACTCAGACCCGGCTTACCAGGGTGCTCATAGCAAATGACAGATTCTCATCTGTGAGGTTCCCTTTGTCCCTGGGAGATCTTGGGTGTGAGTGTGGGTGTGGCTAGAGTCTAGGGTAATATACTGTTTTCTTTGGTCATGTGGCTATAATGCCTTCTTACGAGCATCAGCACCTTACCTATTTTTTTTCTTTATTATTTACTTTTATTTTTAGCTGTGCTAGGTCTTCATTGTTGCTCGAAGACTTTTGCTAGTTGTGGCAAGTGGGGACTATTCTCTAGTTGTGGTGTATGGGCTTCTCATTGCAGTGGCTTCTCTTCTTGAGGAGCATGGCTCTAGAGTGCGGGCTCAGACAAGTTTAGTTGCCCCAAGGCATATGGGATCTTCCCAGACCAGGGATCAAACCCATGTCCCCTGCATTGACAGGTGCATTCTTAACCACTGGATCACCAGGGAAGTCCCACCTTACCTATTTTTAACTTGTAGTATTTTGCATTGCACTCTTTCTATTGATACTTAAGATGTTCAAGTAATCATTTTGTCATCTTTCCACAGTTTTAGAGATACCTTCTGATGGCTGCATAATTCCATTAATACACCTAACTGTTGAGTTTATCAAAGGAAAAAGAACCAGGAGGCAAAAACCAGGAAAAGGAACAAAGATGGAAGAAAAAAAAAAGAATCTCAACAACTGAGTATAGTCATAACTCTTGACAAGAAAAGTAAGTTGAGCTCTGAAAAATAACCATCAAATCTTACAATTAGGTTTCTAACGCTTTCAGGAAAAGAAGGTTCATCTCTGGACGAGGGGCAGAGGTAGGTAGGAAGAGAGTAAAGTGCCTTACCTCGTGTAGAAGGCACAGTGGAGAAACCGAGGCTGGAGTGGTTCACTGACCTGCTCAGGGCCACTCAGGGCAGATCGCCCAGGCCAGGCTTCACTCGACCGTAGTCGGGAGTGAATGAGAATTAAGGAAGTGGAGAGAGGAGGTATGAATGAGTCTTTCTGGAAGCAGGATGGGGAAAGAAGAGAAAGAGCAATAACTAAATAGAGTATAGGGACACGGAATCACTGCTTTTTAATAATAAATATAGGGCTCACTGGGGCTTCCTAGGTGGCGCTAGTGGTAAAGAACCTGCCTGCCAAGTCAGGAGATATAAGAGACATGGGTTTGATCCCTGGGTCAGGAAGATCCCTTGGAGGAGGGCATGGCAACCTATTTCAGTATTCTTGCCTGGAAAATTCCATGGATGGAGGAGCCTGGCAGGCTACAGTCCATAGGGTCACACAGAATCGGAGATGACTGAAGTGACATAGCACACACAGTACGCATAGGGCTCACTTCCTCCTAAGTTGCATTGAAAAAGATCCCAGTGAGGGCAGGGCCAGAAGCAGACAGACCACAGAACCCTAAACCCTGTCCTGGAGATTTGTCTGTATTGGAAATCTCACCCTGATTGTCTTTGCTCCATCAGAGCCTCCTCGGATCCATCCCTCCTTTGATAGCTGAGGCCCAAACGCAAGATGACAAAAGGCATTTCTTAACATCTCATGGCACAACCAAGTTAAAGCCAGAACATTTAAATGGCTTTTCTCAAGGCAAGAGCAATGTTTCCTGACCTCGCCAGTCACAGAAACTGTCCCAGACCCTCATTTAAATATACACAATGTCAAGAGATTTGGATTCAGGTCTATGTTGGTAGAGAATGGAAGCGTGTATCTGAAAGTAAAGTCAGTTATCCTTAAATTCTGGCAGTTTGGGGTATCACTGTGCTGGCAAGTAACAAAGAGAAACAAACACAGTGGCATAAATCCCCATGGTTCAGCTCACAAGAAAAGGCTTACTCATAACCAGGCTGGGGGTCCTCACCCTGCCTCTGCGGTCTGATGCTATCTTGGCACATGCTGGCTTAATCTCCAGCCCAATCTGGGCACAACAGAGGGAGGTCCGTTGCCAAAATTATAAAGTGGCAGGAGAGGAGGGAAACGGGGCTTCTTCTCTTCAAATCTGTTTGGAGCTGACTTTTAGTTCCTAACCAGCACACCAATCCAGACAAGGCCCGTCCTTGCCTCCCTTGGGTTTCCCTGGTTGCTCAGCAGGTAAAGAATCTGCCTGCAGTGCAGGAGACCCAGCTTTGATCCCTGGGTTGGGAAGATCCCCTGGAGAAGGAAATGGCAACCCACTCTGGTATTCTTGCCTGGAGAAGCCCTTGGACAGAGGAGCCCAGAAGGCTACAGGACATGGGGTCATAAAGAGTTGGACATGACTGGGCAACTAACATTGCCTACCTCCTCCCCTTCTCTGTCCCTCCAGCAGGCACTGGTGGTGGCAGCCATCCCCTCCCACAGGCTTCTCAATCTCCGGGAGGGTGACCCTACATCTTTGTTTGCCTGGGAGAGTCCCAACCTCCTAAGAGCCCAGAGTTCTCTCAGGTTTGGTGTCCGCTTTTATATTCAGAAGGGCCCCAGTGTGGGTGATAAATTCCGTGTTCACGCTGCCTGTGAGCAGAGCAAGGACAAAAACAGAAGTGCACGGAAGCCAGAAGGAGTCTGCGGACAGTTCTCAGTGACTTCCACTTATCAAGCAGAGCACTCTGCACTCAGTCATCGCAGTTAATTTTCACAGCCACCCATGAGGGAGCTCTGGGCACAGGGGTTTCTGCAGATGAGGAAAGTAATGGTTAAATGACTTGACCAGGGTCATCCAACTAGGAAGAGCAGAACTGGATTGAAACATCCATCTGTGTGACCCCAGCTTATGCTCTAAAAGGGGACTGACTGCCTGCCCCCTCAGGCCATGTGGACACCCACCCACCGATTTCTGAATGTGTTAAGAAACAGCACTTTACCCAGAAAGTTGGTCGGTTGGTTTCAACACTCAGGTTTCCTATTTTTCATCTTACATTTGCAAGTAGAAATCTATTTCTGCAGCTGTGTGTATAATTCAGCTCTTGTTTCTGTAACCTAATTTGAGAGAACACGTCCAAAAGCAGCAATGACATCTACAAAAGCACAGTTTGACTCAAGTGGATCCAACCAATTTGCAAATGGAAAGTAACACTGAAGAATAAGCTTTACATCACAAATGTGGCTGCTTCAAGTCATCCTTCGTGAAACTAAAGATGTAAGTGTAACCCAGAAAATGGTTCAAAATCTTTGCTTTACATATGCATAGTTTAATCTTCTAAACCCAGTTGCTCTCCCAGAAAGACAACTTAAAGTTGCACCCTTTGCTTTCACCACCAGACTGTCTGCAGTTTCCCTTTTTTTTCCTTTTAAAAAAAAAGGGCATTTTTTTTTCATTTTTAATTCCAAAGCACTGCCTTTTAAAATATACACATATATATTTATTTATGTGGCTGCACCAGGTCATAGTTGTGGCACCTAGGATCTTTAGCTGTGACATGTGGGATCTTGTTCCTAGACCAAGGATCAAACCCCGGCCCCCTGCATGGGGAGCCCTGAGCCTTAGCCACTGAGCCACCAGGGAAGTCCCAGCAAAAGCACTGCCTTAATGCATTTTCTTTGGAAAAAAACAGACAAACTTCGATCAATGCAGACCTGTACATTGTACATTGTTACTGGTCTGCTTTTGCCCTTCTGTTTTCTATCCACTACCCGCTAGCCTACGTATTTCTTTTTTTTTTAATTGACGTTTGGTTGAGTTACAATATTGTGTTAGCTTCGGGTGTACAGCCTAGTGTTTCGGTATTTTTGCAGGTTATGCTTCATTACAGGTTATTACAATATAATGCATGTCATCCTACATATTTCCTTGATTATTGTAAGCTCTGGACTGGAACAATTCGCCCAGCATTTAGAATAGTGCCTGGCATGTACGTAGTGCGTGCTAAGTTGCTTCAGTCATGTCTGACTCTTTGCGACCCTATGGACTGTAACCCACTAGACTCTTCTGTCCAAGGGATTCTCCAGGCAAGAATACTGGAGTGGTTTGCTATGCCCCTCTGCAGGGGATCTTCCTGACCCAGGGATCGAACCCATGTCTCCTGTGGCTTCTGCATTGCAGGCTGATTCCTTACTGTTGAACAACCAAGGAAGCCCTCAATAATTCTTTGTTAAGTGAATGAAGACTTTGCACACGGCAACCAGGAACCAGATCATGTAGGGCCTTATAAGTCCTCCAGTTTATCTTAAATGTGAAGGAAAGTCATTGGAGAGTATGTGATCTGACTTACAGTTAATTTTTTATTTTTTTGACTTACAGTTTAAAAGAATTACACTAGGACTTCCCTGGCGGTCCAGTGGTTAAGACTTCGAGCTTCCAGTGTAGGGGGCATGGGTTAGATTCCTGGTTGGGGAGCTGGGGAACTAAGATCCCGAATGCCATGGGGTGTGGCCAAAACATAAAAATAAAATTAATTAATTAAAAAGACCACGCTGGCTGTAGTGTGGAAGGAAGATTATATCAGGGGTAAGAGTGGCCTGGGGGCAGTTAGAGGCTAATGCAACATCCAAGCAAGAAAGATAATGAGGACTTGAGTTAGGGTGAAAAAAAGTTCAGATTTTTAGATATATTTTGGTGTTACAGAATGGCAGAACTTGTTAATAATGAGGGTCTGGGGGTGGGGGGAGAGGAATTGAGGATAACATCTAGGTTTTTGGTCTCAGTACTTAATCTTCCTGAGCCTGTTACCTCTTCTGTAATATGAGGATAATTAGAGCATCTCTCTGTTGGGACTATTGTGAGAAAGAGCAGAGGACCTTGATGGCTCACATAGCACATGGTAAACGCTCAGTAAATGTTAGCTCTTCTATTACACTAAAGATAAGTGTTTCCTAGGATTGCAAAAATATCCACCCCACAGAGACTGAGGGGAAAAAAAATTGTTTTGTAGAATGTACCCTCCCCTCCCAAGGGACAGATATTTATTTAACAGAATACTTAGCATTAGTGTTGGAACAGTTTACTTGCACACAGATACCTAGATATCTCAAATGGCTCATAATTCTCCTTTAAGTAGTGCTGTCCATTTAATATTTAGCAGAAGGAGTAAATAAAAGGTGAAATTACAAACCTCTGCTGATTAGAAAATCAGTCGAAATGTAAGAAAAAGTACATCTGAAATAATAGTGATTAAAAAAACAAAACAAAACCAAGTATTCGCTGCATTTTAATACACCAGAAACTAAAACACCACACTGTCTGGTTCAGCACAGGACATGCGGCAACCCTCTGTCAGTTGTAACTCTGCAAAGCCAACTTTTTGGCTGCCTTGGCCTGTCCTTACTTCCCCCTGGAAAACTGTTTTAAACTTAGCACAGATAACATTTTGCCTCTATTACAGTTAGCAGCTTCTCTCAATGGGTCTCCTGGCTTGGCAAGTGCTTGTGTGGGGTAACCCAGTCTCTTCTCTCAGAGCCTCCCAATGGTGGCCTCCAGGTAGCACGTGAAGAGCTGTCTGAGGGGAACTGAGGGGTTCCTCCATGCTCTTCAGGGGCTTTCCTGCTAGCATCGTCTTCCACCTCAGCAGATCTCCCTGATTGTTGGTTATCTGAGCCCTCCACCCAACTAGAGACCAGCTTTTCTTCTTTGCAGACAGCCTCTCAGCCCTGCCCCCTCACAGCCAAGGCCTTTTAGGGACTCTTTTCTCTTCCTGAAGACCTCCGCTCACTCCTCTCCTCAGTTGAGACCCTAGGACATTTCTTCCAGGGCTGTTTTCCTGCTTTACTGACTATGCCAGAGCCTTTCACTTTGTGGATCACAACAAACTGTGGCAAATTTTTAAAGAGATGGAAATACCAGACCACCTTATCTGCCTCCTGAGAAACCTGTATGCAGGTCAAGAAGCAACAGTTAGAACTGGACATGGAACAACAAACTGGCTCCAAATCGGGAAAGGAGTACGTCAAGGCTGTATATTGTCACCCTGCTTATTTAACGTATATGCAGAGTACATCATGCGAAATGCCGGGCTGGATTAAGCACAAGCTGCAATCAAGTTTGTAGAAAGAAATATCAATAACCTCAGATACACAGATACCCTTATGCAGAAAGCGAAGAGGAATTAAAGAGCCTCTTGTTGAAGGTGAAAGAGGAGAGTGAAAAAGCTGGCTTAAAACTCAGCATTCAGAAAACTAAGATCATGACATCCAGTCCTATCACTTCCTGGCAAATAGATGGGGAAACAATGGAAACAGTGACAGACTTTATTTTTGGGATTCCAAAATCACTGCAGATGGTGTCTGCAGCCATGAAATTAAAAGATGCTTGCTCCTTAGAAAGAAGGTTATGACCATTCTTAATAGCATATTAAAAAACAGAGACATTACTTTGCCAACAAAGGTCCTTCTAGTCCAAGCTATGGTTTTTCCAGTAGTCATGTATGGAAGTGAGAGTTGGACTATAAAGAAAGCTGAGTGCCGAAAAATTGATGCTTTTGAACTGTGGTGCTGGAGAAGACTCTTGAGAGTCCCTTGGACTGCAAGGAGATCCAACTAGTCCATCCTAAAGGAGATCAGTCCTGGGTGTTCATTGGAAGGACTGATGCTGAAGCTGAAACTCCAATACTTTGGCCGCCTGATGCGAAAAACTGACTCATTGGAAAAGACCGTGATGTTGGGGAAGATTGAAGGTAGGAGGAGAAGCGGACTACAGAAGATGAGATGGCTGGATGGCATCACCGACTCGATGGACATGAGTTTGAGCAAGCTCGGGGAGTTGGTGATGGACAGGGAAGTCTGGCATGCTGCGGTCCATGGGATCGCAAAGAGTCAGACACAACTGAGCAACTGAACTGAACTGTTTTCTTGCTATCCTTCTCCTCAAGTAGGGGGAGCTGCCTCTTCTGCACTCTTAGAGCTGCTTTGATCTGTCTATGACAGCCCCTGAGAGCTGGGCCTGACTGCCCCAACTTGGTCTTCAGCTGGATCCCAGTGGCCTCTCGCGGGACAGAGACCACCCTACTTCTAGTGGCTGACCCTGGAGTCCAGATGTCCCACATGGCCTGGACAGACTATCCTTGATCATCTTTCCTGCCAGCCACTCCCTGTAGCCCCCACAGACAAGCCAAATACAACAGTGGCGGGCTCAGATGGAGGCACTCAGGAACAGGGGAGGAAGCTGATGAAGAAATCAGCTTCCGAAAGAAAGTTGTGGTTCCTCCGAAACAGCAGACTACAAGGGGGCAGTTACATTTAAAGTGCTCCAAGTACATGATTCTCCAAAGATTTTGGCATTTAAATTTGGGGTTTCTGTTTTGGGGTTTTTTGTTGTTTGTTTGCTTTTTTAGCCGCGACACACAGCATGTGGAATCTTAGTTTCCCTGACCAGGGATGGAACCTGAGCCCCTGACAGTGGAAGCACGAAGTCCTAACCACTGAACCACCAGGGAATTCCTGGGGTTTTTTTTTTAGTTTTCCAAAATGAGAAAAAAAAGGTTGTCAGATGACTTTTCTTCACCCTGGAAACCAGAGCCTCACCTGGAATCAATGTAAAGCTTCAGACTCGATCTGGTGGACAGGTTTACCACTCACACATTCTTTCTCACATCTTTATCATTTATTACATGATAGATTTTCCCTAAAAAAGATATTATTAAAGGCCAACTTCAAACCTTTTAAAAAGTACCTATGAAATGTGATCTACATCCATGATTAAGATAGTGTTTTCAAAATTTTATGAATTTTATCTAACAATTATTATAGTACTTTTTTATGTACCAAGGATGATCCTAAGAGTTTTATAAAATTAACCTATTTAATCCTTAAGCTAATGAAACATTTACTATTATTAACCTCATTTATAGGTGAGAAAATTAAGTCACAGAGAGGTTAAGTAACTTGCACAAGGTCACACAGCTAATAAGTGACAGAACCAAGAATTCAAACCCAGTGATCCTGTATGCTGAGGTCACTAGGCTATGCTGCCTCTATAAAGGGCCTGAAAAACAGACAGATAGATAGATGTGCTGTGCTGTGCTGAGTCACTCAGTCACGTCTGATCTTTGTGACCCCATAAACTGTAGCCTGCTCGGCTCCTCCGTCCAGGGGATGTCCCAGGCAAGAACACTGGAGTGGGTTACCATGTCCTCCTCCAGGGGATCGAACCCAGGTCTCCTGCATTGCAGGCAGAGATTGATAGATTTTTAATATATATTTATCATATATAAAATATATACTGTGTGCTCGGTAGGTCAGTCGTGTCCGACTCTTTGCAACCCCATGGACTGTAACCCGCCAGGCTCCTCTGTTCATGGAAGTTTCCAATGGGTTGCCATTTCCTACTCCAGGGGAATCTTCCTGACCCAGAGATCGAACCCACATCTCCTGCATCTCCTGCATTGGCAGGCAGATTCTTTACGACTGAACCACCTGGGAAGCCCCATAAAATATGTACTATATGCATATATTTTTGTGTATAAATGTTATATTTTATACAGGTACATATGTATGTGTGTGTGTGTATGAGAGCAGGATTGTAAGTGCAGTTTTCCAAATGGCCCTCTTTTTGGGTGTTTTCAAAGCATGGCTAAACCCCGGAAAAGTTCTCTATAATTTTTCTGTAGCTACATCCTCTTGAGGAGACTAGGGGACTGGTTTCATAAACGTCGGCTCCTCTGACAAATGAGGTGGCTAAATCAGAAGAACTAGTTCGTCAAGTGAGTGTAAGAAGCGTCCAAATGCAAAATTATTCAAATTTCCTGGAAGGCTGACCAGGTAATTTTCCTCTTTAGATCTGACTCTGGGAGGTGTCCTGACTCAGTATTCGGTAAGCTAACTCCGGACTATTCTTGTGCCTTTTGGACTAAATATAATGCGAGTTTGTTCTGTTCAATAGTTCATATTCTAATACTTATGTGCAGGTTTAAGTTCTAGGGTCTCACGCCTCCGGATTCACCAAAAAGGTAACGCTCAAGTAAACAAGTGGGGCGTTCTAGCTACTGGTGCAACTGCGCCCCCTGCCGGCGCTGGGCCGGCAAGCCGGCCTCATGAAAGGGCCTCTCCCGCTCCCCCCAGCAAATCGCAAACTTTAGCCCTTCCCCGCTTATGCAGCTTTCCAACCAAGCCAGACTGGCTTAGCGCTGCCCCGAGCTAAGCACAAGTGCACTTAGCGCTGAGGATCGAAGGTAAATCAAAGCCTCGCAGCCTTAAAGTATCTCACGGTCTATCGCGGCACACCCAAAGCAGCGCATTAGACTGCAGCTGCAAGCCAACCTCCTGTCCCATACGTTTGCAGCCACAAGTGGCACGCCAGAGCCTGAATCAAACAGCATAGTACAATGCCCTTTTGTTGAAAAGGAGGACTATGACTCACCCCATCATTTTCTGTGTGCGTAGAAACCACGGCCTACACAGGAGCGACGAGACCAATCGGTCGGTGCTTTACTGAAGCCCCAGGTTACCTGGAAGCTGTCCCGAAAGCGAGCTCTCCAGGGTGGGCTCCAGAGGGGCTGCACAGAAAACTCACGATTAAGGTTAACAGGGGCCAGGAGGAGCTCTATGCATTCGGATATTAAATTAATAAGTAACAAGTGCATTAAAAATATGTGACCAAGACCTCTGATGCATTAGTAACAAGATGCTAGCTTAGCTTCCCAACTAGACTTTGTTGGATTTTTTAAAAACAGAATTTTATCTGTTTGTGTTTTTCGAACTAGGCCAAGAGGCCTCCTCCATTTCTAAAACACAAAAATTCTTTCTGTTCCTCTTCTCAAACCAAATCAGACTCTGGACACACCCAGGAGCTCACTGTGTCTTTTAGTTAACTCTCTGTCGCCTTTCACTTTAGAGAAAGTTCTGCCGGTAACAAAACCTGCTATACTAGCCAAGAGGGAAAAGGACTTGAAGGAAGAGGAAGAACACATTTTTAATAATTGTTCTCAAAACATATGAGGATAAAAAGTAAAAGAAGTGGAGAAATATGCCACTCCATTCGGGAGTCACTCTGGACAAGTGTTTCTGAGCTATGGCCTATAGGTCAGCCATCATGGCATCCAAAGAAGAATGTAATTACAAATGAGGACCTGGGAGAAATCTCTAAGATGGTTCCCACAAAGGGTACAGGGGAGAAAAAAAAAAATCTATGCAAACGAAGAAAGGCAACACTGGAACCTCATGAGAGCAGAGAAGAAGAAAACGGTGAGAAGGGAGAGAGAATGAGGTGGGAAGCAGAGAGAAGGGGTGAGTGTGGGTAGCTACAGGCAGGCTGCATCAGGGTGAACATCTCACATTTATAATTTAATGTAAGTAATGCATGGCTTTGCAAAAAAGCAGGCAAGGAAAGAAGAACTTCAGTGTTCTCGTACACATACACATAGAGTATGTGAAAATGCAGACAATGCAGAAGAGCATAATGTAGAAGTGAAAGTCTCTCCCCCACCAACAAACAGCTATTAATGTTGGAGCAGAGGTGCAAGGGGTTGGGACAGGCAGGAGGCCAGGCAGCCCTGAGACAGAAGACAGAGGCCAGCCCTGACATTGTGGTTTAAACCGAAGGTTTTCATCTAATGGCTTCACTGGAAGCCCTTACACAGGCTTCCCTCACCCCTAAAAATCCTCACCTAATTCTCAGCAAGTGTGAGAACTGTGACCAAAAACAACAGCCACCTCCCTATTTGATTTAAGCAGAAAAAAAACCAAACAAACACAACACCTCTACTTTTATGCATGCCTGAAATGTTAAGAATGTACCTGTAGCAAATTTGAACAGAGAGCATTAAGCTTTGTTATGTACTTAAACTGAGTGAAAGTGTGTATGACAAATATACAAATGTCACCCTCAGGACCTGGGTCAGGTGGTGTGTGGTAGTAAAAGCTGCCCAGTTATGTCGTATTTATATCTCTGTCCTCTGTCCTAATTTACAGGAGGTGACAGTGGGAATGAAGATGAGGCGGGAGAGGAGGAGATGGTGGAGTAATGTCTTAATGCCTGGTGATAAATGAAAATGCTGAATTTCCACAGGTATGTTAGAATTGCACACATCCCATAGAGAGGTTAAGATAGCATTTTCTCATATAGTGTTAACAAAATAGTTAATCCTGAAGAACGATTAACATATTACTTATTAAAGAAATAATAATAATACCATTTATGTAATAAATCATGAATAATATATATTTATCAGAAACAGAGTCTCCTTTATACAGTTATAAATAAGTTCTAGTTGTTATTTTAATAATAATCCTTTAGAACTCTTGCCTGGAAAATCCCATGGACGGAGGAGCCTGGTAGACTGCAGTCCATGGGGTCGCGAAGAGTCGGACACGACTTCACTTTCACTTTCACTTTTCACTTTTATGCATTGGAGAAGGAAATGGCAACCCACTCGTGTTCTTGCCTGGAGAATCCCAGGGACGGGGTCACACAGAGTTGGACATGACTGATGTGACTTAGCAGCATATAATAATTCTTTATGAATTATTAAAGTACCAGTTTGACCTTTACCTGAAATATCTAGCAAAGTTAGGACTTGAATAGTCCTCACTGCATTGTACATATTGTATCTCTATATAGTTTCTGGGGCTTCCCAGATGGCTCCCCCAATTGCAGGTGGATGGTAAAGAATCTTCTACAATGCAGGAGACATAGGAGACACGAGTTAGGTAAGATCCCCTGGAGGAGGAAGTGGCAACCCACTCCAGTGTTCCTTGCCTGGGTCATCCCACGGACAGATGAACATGGTGGGCTACAGCCAATGGAGTCACAAAGCCCAACTGAGCACACGGCACATCGTTTGTTAGTTGGTTGATTTATACCCTGCTTTGTTGAACAGGGCCAAGACTTCCCTGGTGGCTTAGATGGTAAAGTGTCTGCCTGCAATGCGGGAGACCCGGGTTCGATCCCTGGGTTGGGAAGATCTCCTGGAGAAGTAAATGGCAACCCACTCCAGTACTCTTGCCTGGAGAATCCCACGGATGGAGGAGCCTGGTAGGCTACAGTCCATGGGGTCGCAAAGAGTCGGACACGACTGACAAACTTCACTCACTTTCACTTCACTTGTTGAACAGGAGATTTAAGATTGCCCAGTGCCTCAGATGTGAATCAGAGGTGCTAAATAATCTCCAACTGCACGCTATTAGGCTGTATATAAGTATGTATATCACCAATGCAATGAACATGAACTTGGGCAAACTCTGGAAGATGCTGAGGGACAGGAAAGCCTGGCATGCTGCAGTCCATGGGGTTGCAAAGAGTCAGACATGACTGGGTGACTGAACCACCACAAGTATATACAAAAAAATATATGCCAATTAGAGTGATCATAATGTTAGATGAATATATTTGAATAATAGTAAATACTAAAACACATGGTAACTAAAATGGTTTCTCTCTGTCTCACACACACAGACACACACACACACATTGTTTTTAACCCCATAGCTTTTCTGAACAAAAACAGAAGAAAAATGCAGAAAATATAAAGCCAAGCTGGAGTAGGTCCTATGCAGTGAGCTCTTTGGGGTCCCTAGCAGAGACATACATTGCAGTCTGTTCACAGTCATCCAAAGTAAGACAGCAGAACAGGGACGTGAAGACTTGAGAAGACTTAGTCTTCTCAGCATCATCCTTTCAAAGAGCTATCATCAGACTCCTTTTGATTCTAAAGGGAAAAGGATAATAACACTGTTCTTCTTAAGGAGCTAATTCTCTCTGGTTGAAGTAGTCAAACCACATAGCTCTTTCTGTTTATTTACAGTGTTGTAATTGTATAACAGGATAGAAGTACCAATGCATTCAATAGATAAAATACACTTTATTTAAAGTAGGGAAGGATTTCCTGGGGGATGCATAAAATTAAGAATGTTAGGAAAATTTTGTAAACTATCCAGGTGTAATTACCAACCAATAAAAATAAAATATTTCATAATACTCTTAGTTTTCACTAGATATTGGTTTACAAATCATGGTTCTATTGCTTACCTTGTCGCAACAAAGTCCTTAAAACCAATATTCTTTATTTGGTGATATGTACTAGGTGGAAATCTTTATAATCCTGGAATTCTACATGCAAAAAGCTGCCCAGGTAGGCCCCAGCTCTGGGTGTGCGGTGTGTACAGGCCACGGGAGCATCCTTGTGATTCAGGGGCCTAGGTTGGCTGGACCTTTCCCAAGGGACCCTGAAATAACACAGCTAAAATGGAGAAACAGAAGCTAAGATCTCAGCTGATAAAATGGGCCTTGCATGAGGTCAGAGGACGAGTAAAGTCATCAGTAAGAGAACAGTAGTGATTAGAACCAGAAGTTGAGAAAAAGAACAAGGCTTTATGAGGGCTAAATCAGCTAAAACAGTTCAAAACTAAGGCCCCGAAGGACAAAGAGTGAAAGAATATTCCCCATCCCCTGTTTTTAGTCACTGGTTTAGGGGATGATTTAGGGGGTTCCCAGGTGGTGCTAGTGGTAAAGAACCTGCCTGCCAGTGCAGGAGACATAAGAGATGCGAGTTCAATTCCTGGGTCGGAAATATCCCTGGAGAAGGGCAGGGCAACCCACTCCAGTGTTCTTGCCTGGAGAATCCCACGGACAGAGAAGCCTGATGGGCTAGAGTCCACAGGGTTGCAAAGAGTCAGACACGACTGAAGTGACTTAGTGCACATGCAAGCATTACTGATTTAAGTTTACACTGAGAAATTCATGGCCACAAGCAACCAAAATGATGATGGTGGTGGTGGTGGCATGATTGGTGTATTTTCTCCCTGAGCTCCAGACGTGTGATGCAACAGCTCTTAATCAAGAGTTGGTTGCTTTTCTGGTTTGATTGAGAAATCACTGTCACAAGCATAAGAAAAACACAAACAGTGCATTCTCTCTGCGGGCCTACATGGGAATTAGAAGGTAGCCCGATGAACAAGGAATCCAATGGCATAAGGTGATGATAGTTTAAGGGTCCATCTCACTGTTGGAGTATCTTACTCCCCCACAGCATCTGCATTAGAGCTGGATTTGCCACTGGGACCAGAAATGCTGGCTGTTCGTCTTTGGTATATAAAGCTGTGAAAAAGGGAGACTCAAGGGGACTAGGACTTGTTTCTGCATTCTAGGTAATGTGGAAGATTTTGTAGTTTCTTTTTTGTAAATTGGAGATATGACCAACACCACCACCACTATCACCCCCCACTCCCCCCAACCCCACCAAAAACACAAACGGAAACCTCCTAGGCTCTAGGAGTGGAGTCTTGTAGTACTCAAAGGGTAATGTGGTCCCATCAGTTTTAGCCTCAGCCAAAGATGGAGGAACTAGCATTTCTGATAGAATTAAGAGATCGAAGATGCTGTTTACTGAAAATAAGCCATGGATGGAGGATTCAGGGAAACAGGGACAAAACTGTATCCTTAGCACCTAACAGGGCCTGGTTCACAGAAGGTGAAGATATGCATTTGAAAATGAATAAACAAATAGATAAACCAGAAAATCAAAATACAAGGGTGACGAGGTAACTAGTTTTAAATAATAAAAACCCTGAAAGATCAGAATCCAGGAAATTAGATTCAGTCTAAAAAGCTATCAAGCCTGGAAATCAGAATACAGGTCTAATCATAACAGTGGCCTCTTTTGCATTTCCTGCTGAACTAGGATGGCATTAAATTTCTAGATTTTTTCCCCAAAACATTTTATTATGAAAATTTACAAATTTACAGCAAAGTTGAGAGAATTTTATAGTGTATACTGTGTAATTACCACCTGGATTCTACCATTAATATTTTATTATTCATGGGTTTTTTCAGTTCAGTTCAGTTCAGTCACTGAGTCATGTTCGACTCTTTGCTACCCCATGGACTGCAGCACGCCAGGCCTCCCTGTCCATCACCAACTCCTGGAGTTTACTCAAACTCATGTCCATTGAGTTGGTGATGCCATCCAGCCATCTCATCCTCTGTCATCTCCTTCTCCTGCCCTCAATCTTTCCCAGCATCACGGTCTTTTCAATTCAGTCAGTTCTTCGCATCAGGTGGCCAAAGTATTGGAGTTTCAGCTTCAACATCAGTCCTTCCAATGAATATTCAGGACTGATCTCCTTTAGGATGGGCTGGTTGGATCTCCTTGCAGTCCAAGGGACTCTCAAGAGTCTTCTCCAACACCATGGTTCAAAAGCATCAATTCTTCAGCGCTCAGCTTTCTTTATAGTCCAACTCTCACATCCATACATGACTACTGGAAAAACCATAGCTTGGAATAGATGGACCTTTGCTGACAAAGTAATGTCTCTGCTTTTTAATATGCTGTCTAGGTTGGTCATAACTTTCCTTCCAAGGAGCAAGCGTCTTTTAATTTCATGACTGCAGGCACCATCTGCAGTGATTTTGGAGCCCCCCCAAAATAAAGTCTGTCACTGTTTCCATTGTTTCCTCATCTATTTGCCAGGAAGTGATGGGACCAGATGCCATGATCTTAGTTTTCTGAATGTTAAGTTTTAAGCCAACTTTTTCACTCTCCTCTTTCACTTTCATCAAGAAGCTCTTTAGTTCTTCTTCACTTTTTAATTTTTATTCATTCATTTATGTATTTTTGGCTGTGCTGGACCTTCGTTGCTGCACACAGCCTTTTCCCTAGTTGCTGAGCGTGCTCTTTAGTTGAGGTGCTCTGGCTTCTCACTGCAGTGGCTTCCCTTGTTGCAGGGCTGGGGCTCTGGGGCTTGGGCTTAATAGTTGTGGTGCACGGTCTAGTTGCCCCTTTGCATGTGGGATCTTCCCAGACAAGGGATCGAACTATGTCCCCCACATTCACAGTCAGATTCTTAACCACTGGACCACCAGGGAAGTCCTGTATGTGGTTCCCATGCATGCTAAGTCACTTTATTTGTGTCCAACTCTGTCCAACCCTAAGGACTGTAGCCCACCAGGCTCCTCTGTCCATGAGATTTCCCAGGCAAGAATACTGAAGTGGGCCTCCATTTCCTTCTCCAGAGCATCTTCCCGACT